CACCTCACAGATAGGCTATAATCCTACATACACAACTTCCAGAGCCTTCTGTTCATACATGACAGCTTGTAAGGCCGTGCTGAGCTCTCGGCGCTTTCTGCTAAATCCAGATATAAAAGTGGAAACAATGAGGGAACTATCTCTACAGGTCATGCTTGTGTAGCTAAGAGGTGTCTCCTCTGTACCTACCAGAGTGGCATGAGCTTCTCAGTCTTGGGCCACAGGGACTAAGACTTGGCTTCTAAGCATGAAAAGACGAATGAACCAACAAGAGCTAGAGACAGCTGGGGCCATCAGCCTCCTGGAAACCACCGTGAAGCTCTTTGAAGTGAGACAGAACGCTACCCAAAATGTTAAGCAGCGGCCTTCAGTGGAGTCAGCTGCCATTAAGGGTATGTATTGTTTTAGACCTTCCTCATTCAATGACCAACTAGGAATTCTGCTTCTCGCTCCGAAAGATGGAAACGGCATCTTTTGTTTGCTTGACCCTGAAAGGCAGAGGAAGTTGCAGACTTTATTTATTCAACCCCAAGACATGGGAACTCACAGAACATTGTCACTTCCCAAAGAGCTTTTGTTTTCATTTTCCTTCTCAGCCCGCGTGGGTTCTGTCTGCCTTACGGATTTTTCACAGACAGTTTGCTACCAGCCTTGGACATCTGCTTGCACACGGCTGTAAGCTGAAAGAAGGTTCTTTATGGCTGCATGCAAATAATCATGCTGCTCGATGACAGAAATTGCTACAGTTTTGATCAGAAAGTCTTACCACTAGATTTGTTATTGAGCTCTTTCTAATTAGAATGTGTAGCATTTCAGGGCACTTTTGAAGTCTGTTACATCAGCATGATGATGGATACTAGAAGGAAGGCTGAGGGAAGCATTCACAATCAGAAGCTGGACAACAGAGCACACAGACTTGGCAAAACCCACCGTCCCATTCACGGTAAACTCCTGCCTTTAGGAGACTGTTTCACTGTTGCGTTTCATGACAAGAACTTATGAGAACCGGGCTCTTTAAGAAACCAGGAACATAGGAGTTATAGAGCACCATGCACACAAGCAGCTATCTCAAAGGCAGGTTGAAGACAAGTCCCATTGTGTCACATCACACTAAGGATCTACGTAGAACATTTATAAAAAATTCAAGTGTCTCTCTGTCATGACTGCCAATTCCCAGAAAACGAGCCTCGGCTCTCACCAGGGTCTAACCTTTGGTGGGCTGAGAGTGCAGACACCAACGCTCAACTCAGAGAGAGTAAATGATGGAAGAACTTTCATGCATGGAGAACTGTTTCTGCACAGGGATCCTAAGTATAAAAAAAGGCCTTTTCGGTCTTTGTGCTGCTCATGGCGAGCACACACCTGCAGAGCCGTTTACAGCTGGTCCTACAAGGAGGAAATGCAAGCTATGAGAGCACCTAACCTAACCCTAGGGAGAAATGCATTAAAGAAAGTGGTTTCCTGGGGTAAATGCTGAACGCTATCTCCTCCACTGAACGTATGTTCTCACTTTCGTGCGCTGCAAGGAGAGGAACGCTCATGGTGTGTGCTGCACTACAAAGCTGCAGGCATCCTGCAGAGACAAAAGGCTTGTGCTTGGGGTAGGAAAAGTGGCTTAGCTATGCTGCACTCTATAGATTATTTTGATCCAAAGATCAATGTTACAACCCACTGCATTTTTTACAGCAGTTAAGTAAATAATAGCAGGCTAATGGCAGATGTTTTCATTTAAACTTCAAGAAAGGCACTGCCTATATGTCAATTTGGAATTGGGGTAATGAGCCAACATGACTCTGAATTACAATAAAAGCAAATTTAGGAATGAAATCTGCTGGAGAATTAACTGGTCTCAAGTGCATAGTTAGATTTCTAAAATAATAGCTGCAATCCAGCATAACAAACATGACTTGCTTAAAAACAAAAGCCAAAGTTTAACTGTAAATTGCAGTTGGCTTTCATTCCCATGAGAAACTGCGAGTTATTTCTTCTTGGAATAACTTCTCAGTAATGGCACACCACTAGTGCCCCCTAAATCATGTACAGTAGGACTAGGACTACCCAGTTCTGCTTTTCCCCTCCAGGCTTAGAAACCCTAAGATCCTCAGGTACCATCAGGCAGACTTTCTGTGAGTGCTACTTGTGCTCACAAATACTGGGGCTTTGCCGAGGGGCAGAGGCAGGCTAAAACATGGGCAGGGCTGGCTGCAGGGGCCAAGAGCAGGGCTGTACTAAGTGACAGGAGCCAGCAGGGAAAGGGGACAAGGGTAAAGCGCTTCGAGAGCATCCGGAGAGGCAGAAATGGAGGAACTGACAGCAAGAGAAGCCCTCCATGGGGACTTTGCTGGCTCATCCTCATGCCCACAGAGGGGCAAGGGCAATGCAGGCTGTTCAGGAGAAGGAGCACTTAGGAGAAAGTTACAAGGTAATGGGCGTTTTTACTCCAAGACACAACAACTGAATAGTTTTTATCAAGTTTCCAACCTTGAAAATTAATAACATACTGTTATCGCTTTGTACAATATTGTCCTCTTAAACTCCCACCCTACTGAATGCACACACGTGCACATACAGGCAACTGTCTACTACAAAATTTTCTGTTAAGCTGTGAAGCACCAGGACTGCCACTGGCCAGACTGACCCTGACTCTTCCCTCCAAGAGAAAACTCTTGCAACTGTAAACCTGTCTCTGCTTTGTACACTGGTGAAAGCTGACAGAGCTATCTTGCAGAACCGTGTCGTTAACCTCCACGCAGAGTCGTGTAAGACAGTGACCGACAACTCATTTCACCTCATCTTTGTCTGTACCTGTTCTCTGTTCCTGCAGCTGGTGGTGGGAAAGGCTTAGGCCAGCTTAAAGGCTGAGTCTCTAGCAAAGCTCAGAAGGCACTCAAGCAATCAAAATGCAATCAGGAAAGGATAACAGCCCTTCTGGGAAAAGACTGTCCAAGCAGTTTGAAGGGTTCTCGGCTCAACCGCGAGCTGTTTTGCATTTGGAAACAGTGTCATGGGTAAACTTCAGTACAGCGACAAACAGAGATCCTGCAGAATAAAGCAAATGGGGAAGTTGTGAAAACGTTTCAAAGCACGGGCCACTTCACTTGCATTCCCCTCATCCCATCTGCCAGGGTTGTGGAAGTAAAATGGAAGGGCAAGCAAATGGCAGTGGAAAAGGTTTCCCTTCTTCCACAGAGATCTAGCTGAGGCACAAGAAAAGGCAGAAGGAGACAAGTTCTTTCACTGAAAGTTTTGCCAATTCTTCCCAGGGAGACCCGTCCTCTTCCAGCAGCCAACTCTCTGCAGGTGGGCAGAGAGTTAAGGTGGGCTTAAAAGAGCGGCAGACAGCTGGGACAAAAGCTTTGTTGTCAGCTAACTTCCAGATGCTGGGTCATGACGTCCCTGTGGACGCAGAACAGGGTGGAGGAGCAATATTCTCAAAGGAGAGAAATGGGTTCTTCTCCAGGCAGGACATTTTAGGGAATCATCTCCTCCAGGTAATTTGCTAATAATGAAATTTAAAATCAAGCCAAGTTACCTACTGGCTCCTGTGTATCTTGTATTTTTTTTCCTAATACCTGGTTCTCTGTCACAGAGGAAGCAGTATTTGAAGACGTTGTTTACTTAATGCTATCCTTGTGTCTCCTCTGTTTCAACATCTCTGCCCAAATCCCTGGACATTTTTTTTATTTCCTGGATTATGCTGATGTTCTGAAGAAAAATCCCAAAACAACACAAGTAACTATAATTTCACAATGTTTCATTATTAATGAAGGGTAAGATTTGTCACTGGATTTGGATGTGTATTTTCCAAATTATATTTACTCCAACAACTGAAAAGTTACTTCAAGTAAAATAAAGTGCCCAGCTGCACGTGACAATTCAGCTCAGCCAGAAAAGGGTTTTTGCAATGGACATGAAGAGGGAGTTTCAGGCAGATAAATGCCAAAAATAATTTTGATACATCTAATAAAAATTCCCCTAAGATAGCTAGTTATAGATTATCACACTCAACTTACTGTACTGCATGGGAAAATGTTATTATCAAAATGTTGAAAGCCTGAGCTGATTTCTTTTTTCTTAGTTTATGGAAATTCACATCAACAGATAATGTTTTCAGCATGCTGGAATTTAATAAAAACACTTGGTTTATGATTCACTTGTACTGTAAAACACGTAAGTCTTAAAAAAGCATTATGTGCACAGATATTCAGAAAGTAAAGTTTATACTATTATGGGGTTTGCTATGCATTTGCCTGCGACAGTGACTCTGTGCCCCAAATGTCCTAACTTGGCAGTTCCTTACTGTAGAAATTAATGATATATTTACATGCTTCCTGTCCTGTCTCTCATGTGAGACTAAAATACAGATCAAGAACATTTTTGCTCACTAATAAGCCTGTGCCCCTAGTGCAAAGCTGTTTTCTCTCCTGTCCTGCAGCACTGTAACATGATTATGATTAATCCTGACCGTGCAGCTCCGAGAGGTCCCACTCACACTGTGTGTTGTATAACGGAGCAGTAAACAGCTGAGGAAGCCGAGGAAGGCAGTCAGCATCCTAACAAACCAGTAAGGCCAAGGAATTTGCCCTGCTAAGCACGCGTAGGAGGAACCCCGATGAGAGGATGAGGACAGTCTCCCTGCTCCATGGGACCTTTGTAGTTAAGAGACGCTAGCTCACATCCAAGTAACCCTTAACCAGCTCTGTGGAAACCACTGGCACTGGACGGCACCACCCCTGTCCTTGAAGGATCCGAGATGCTGCAGAACTGCCGGCCAAGTCATGCAGCCTCTCGCTACCGTCTCGGCGACCAGGCACTGGTGACGTGCCAGCACCGTGGCTCCAATGGGGACCCTGGTGACTAAGGCCCAGTAATGGCCAGTCTGACTTCTTTCTCAAAGCTGTAGCGACAGACATTTAGTCTAAGTTTTGTTTCCACGTACAAGTCAGGCACGTCTCTTTGAAATTAGTCTCCTATCGTTCTCTTTCATGTTTTGGACTTACCATTGATGTTTACAGCTGGCAGCACTATAGACATCTTTGGTCTTCTGGTCTTGTTATGTGTGGTGGCTGGCAGTAACAGGTGGTCCTGGAAAACAGGGGAAAAGATGTGTTAAATCTACCCTGGGAGCACAGAGCTGAGAAAATTCCTTCCGATTCTGTCTTACAGGCATTCCACACAAAACTATTTATGACAGCTTAGCAAATTCAAATTCTTGAGGGAGTCTTCCAGAAGTCACAGCAATTGCTCATGCTGTGTAACCGAGAAGAAACCCCTGTCACATGCAGAACACACAAAAAAAGCCTTGATCATGTGAAGAGAGATGGAAACTACTATTAGGGCCTCATTCAACAGACTACTCATGTATATGATCAACATAATTTAACTTGACTTCAGTATTTAAACATGTGGTTACGGGCTTTGCTGAATTGGAGCCTTTACTTGCCGTGCTGCCTGCTTTACATATAAACGTCGTGTTGCTATATCCATGCCAAGCTCTTGCACCAGGACTGTATCAGTCAGTGTTGTGATGGTGTGTGAAATACAAGCTCTGCTGACAAAAGCTACCAGGGAAGTTGGATGGCAAAGCTGTGCTTTAGTAGCTGATCTCAGCTGCGAGGTGGCTGGGTGCTGCTGTAAGATAGCAGCGATCAAACTAACTACCCCAGGTTTTAGCAGTGGAAATAGGAGACGCTCTGGGTATGGATCTGATCTGCGAGGACGAATTCAGCCTTTCTTAATTTTTTTTCTTCTGTTGCTGAACTCAAATTGCTTAACTTGCAGCCTGGGAAAATACGGTTCTTCCCTGAGCAACAGGACATAAAGCGCCAGTCAAGACACCTCCTGTACTGTTGTGCTGTGCCAGAGAAAGACTGCTAAGGAGGAGGGAAGCTGCCCGTGCCTTACAGAGCCTGGCTTCCCTGAGGGAGGGTGGCTTCACTGAACCATCTCAGCACACAGTGGGCATTGTGAGGGAAGTATATTTGCTCTTTCTTAGTCATTAGGAACAAAAGACTGTGTTTATGTAATTGACAAGTTGAGTTTAAATTTCTAAGGCTCTAAGCGGAACAAAAACCTGCCGATCACCAAGTACCTTTTCCAGGTCCCAAACAACTGATGGAAAAGTTTCTTTTCCCAGCCCCTGTGTTTGCCCCTCTCCCAGTCCCAGCAATGCCAAATTCACTCCCTGTGTCTCTGAGAAGAACAGGAGCTGTCAGCCACGACCACATCAAACACGTGGAGACCAACTGCTTGAGAAGTTTCTCCAACTGTCCCACAACCAGATCCGAACATCTGCCTTTCACTTTACAGGAGCCAGCATCTACTTCACGTGGTCAAAAAGCAGAAGGAGGTTTGATGTTTTCATTTCATGCTTTCCCATTTGTAGAATTCCCACGACGTTTTACCAACCCGGCACTCGGATACTTTACAGGCAGCTTTTCAGCTCCCTGCTCAGGGGGAAGAACAGGCACACAACGATCTCATGCTTTTGGCCAAGGTTATCTTTTTGGCAGATTGAACTGGACTTCCTTCAGGACACACTTCTTAATGTCAGGGTAACTGTACTTCCTCCATTTTAATATCTAAACACTACATTATTATGTCTAAGATTCGGGGAACTGAGCTGCACACAAAGTTAGATGTTAAATATATCAAGATCTTCTGTAGATACACTGCAGAAACACCAATCCTTCTTTTCCCACCAAAAAATCCCCCAAAATACCAAATGACTAGCCATGAGAAGAAAACATTATTTCAATAAATTACTGTAATTAAAACCATCTTGGTACTGAAATCATAAAACCACGCTGGTATAATTCTCAGACTACATATGTAATTCCCATTTTGTTTCTGAACCACTAAGACAACACTCAGTAAGACAATGAGCTTTACAGAAGAACTGTTCTTGAAATTCAGTGTTCCCAAGGAAATGGCCCAAAGATGTCCATTAAAACTACATTTCGGAACAATGTCCTTGTCATGATTTGCTGATTATTTTTAACATTGCTTCAAAAATCCTTATCCTGTTGTGGGTTTTTTTTTTTTGAATTTTCAATATTTCTGAAAGTTCAAAACATCATTACCTAGCAAAACACAAGCATCGCACATCATCTGTGCTCAGGCAGGGGGGCTGGACTAGATGATCTTTTGAGGTCCCTTCCAACCCCTGACATTCTGTGATGATCACCTGTGAATCATTATAAGTAACTACTAGTTTTGCTAACTTACGTGAAGATTGGTACGTTAATTGATGCTCGCTTCATTTAGTTTATAATGGCACCTTTATTTACCGTATGCATAAAACGCATTAAGAACTATCACAAAGACTTTACAGAAATAAACAGCAGTGTCATGATAGAAATGCCAAACTTCTGGATAGCAACAAAATAAGGAAAAATCCGCAGCTACTATTACCTTTCTTGGCTGCACCATGGGAGGTTCAGGTTGGACATTTCAGAAACAGTTTTTCACTCAGAGTGTGGTGTAACCCTGGAACAGGTGAGCAGAGAGCGAGGGGATCTTGCGGGTTTCTGAGACCCAGCTATACAAATAAAGCCAGGACTGCCATTACTTGCTGTCAGAACAGTTCCACTTCAAGGGGAAAGCTGGGCAAGGCACCACCTGAGGTTTTCTTGACCCATTTTGATGACGCTATAATTCTCTATTTGCATTTCCCAGGACAGACACTGGCAGTAACAACTTCTCAGAAGAGTCCTACAGCGACTACAGAGGCAGTGCAAACACCTCAGACTTGGCCTTTACAAGCTCTGCGTCTCCTCCATCGTGGTTAAATTCAAAGACTTGGCTCAGAGTGACTCTGTAGTTAACAAACTCTATTTCCATGACTACAACGCTGCCAGACTACGTGATAATACTGCAGGGTAGGTTCAGATTCCACCAAACTGTTTTACTGGAAAACAATACTTTATTCTAAACCTTGCACTGAACACAAGATGTAAAATCCACCTTTCTTAGTGCTGTCTCACCTAGAAGCCTCCCTTGACTTTTTTTTAATTTAATCTCAACTAATATCACACTTCTGTGAATGATGCTTCTAGAGCTGTAAAGAAGAAACAAGCAGTTCACCACTGTCTGCTCTCCTTCCTTGTAATTCTGGCTTAAGACAAAAACATCAGGTAATTTTCTGCTAGATCAAGCCAACTGAATTGGGCAACTCCAGCAGGTATTTCACCCTTCACTAGGACAGCACTGGAGATGGCAGGATCTCCAGAGAAGTCTGGTGCTCTCCAGTGACTCTCATGAGCACGACGTCTAGTTCAGACTGGTCAGCCAAGATCCAAGCACCTGAAGCTGTATTAAATGAATCCCACCCTGCCTCAGGGAAAAAAAAAAAAGAGCAGTGTTTTCTAGAACGCAATTACAGATATTCAAAACCAGAGGAATACAAGGAGGAGGACCAATACATAAAATGCCAGTATTATAATTCAGTCTAGCCTAGTGAAGTGAATTTATCTACACAAATCGCAGCAGGCCAAACACATTCTGCTCAGCCACACAAAATCCTGTCAGAATCTGACAAAACTGATAAAACTTTGACACCTGTCATCCGCGCACTCTTGCTAGCAATCTTTCCACACACAGCCTGACCACGTCAACTCGCTGCAGCCGAAACAAAGTGCACAGGGACCCATTTCTGATGAAGCTGCTCTGCTATCCGAGATGTTAAAATCGACTTTCTGTTCGTTTCACAGTGTGAAAGGGAACAGCTTTCTGCTCCTGCAGCAGATGGGGAGACAGTGAAGTCATTTCCACTCGTGTTTGTGCACCCAGATGTGCTCCGGAGTTGCTGCACAACTCCTTGGTGTTTCAACACCACCTTTGGAGAAGACAGATATACAAACAGCCAGTCAGCTGGAAGTCTAAACTGCTGCCAGGAGCTAACGCGCAAGATGCACGGACTGTCTAGAAGCCGGACGTTGCCCATCGCTACTACAAAGAGCCATTTTTTAAACAATACAGAATTAGGGAAATTTATCCATCTCCCTAATAATCTTTTATCTGTTATATGCAAGATAATCCCAACTTGCGAAGGTTCATAACTACCATGACTATTTTGCCTACAGTTTAGCTCCTTACAACATTCTTGAGCCACAAAGTCTTCAAACAGGCCATAACTTTTATTTGAAAGTAATACCTGATCTTTTTTATATGTAACATAAATGAGAGTACGGATTAGTGATTAGGAGGAAATCAGATATTTAGAAACATTGTCTGAATGTATTTCTAACATGCAAAATATTTTCTCCTGTCCTATTCTGTTCTGAAACACGCAGACTGCGTCCCAGAGGGGTGTGTGATGCTATTACTCATCCCTAATTTTAAACGCTAGACAAAAATATCTAAAATTAAAATGTTGCATGTGATGTTAACACATGATATAAAACTGAAAATGAATAAACCCAAATCTTACAAGTCAGCATCTAGCCCATGAGCATGAATGTCAACCAGGGGCAGAATAAATCATAACTATTACCCAACAACAGATGGCCTTGGCTTGGGCCAAGATTTACACTTAGATGAGACGACAATTTAAATAGAAGACGCAGACCTGAGACTGCTGGCAGAATGACTGGAAAAGTATCAGCCCAGAAAGACAGTATTTCACACAGGACTCTAGCATTACCATTCTCACTTTGCTTTTGATCATCAGTTGAGTGTTATCGAAGCCAGATGAGATGGACACAGAGAGAAATAAAGATATAGATACTAAAAATCCAGCCACAAATGCATTACCTTCATTTAATAAGTTGGGATACAGAAACACATTTTTTTCCTGGGGATAAATTCTGAAGCTGTTACTTGTTAAACTTCTGATTAAAAATCACATTTATAGAGTCCTTGCCACCACAAAACATTTAGGGCACTATTTAGTCTGAATATAATTAACCAGAGCTGTAAACATTTTGTGCCCCTATAGAATGAAATTCCTCACCAAATCATTTTACAGCTATTTCAGTGCCTGCTGATCTGCTTCTGGACTCAGCCCATGGAACTGCAATAAATATTTTAAGGCTTCTTACATAAGATCAGTGTTGTCAGCGCTCTAACAGGGATTAAGCTTTGGA